GATCCTATTAGGATCACCTTCTGTTATCACAGATAACAGGTCGGTTGCCGACTCGTCGGTTACGACTCAACCTCAACCCACTCTCCTTACTCAACTTAAAGAGGCTTCAGCCCTGGTGGTCTTTTCTGTTTTGTTAAGGTTTCACCCGGACTTTTATTGAATGGCCATTTAACAAAGGTACTGAGTATTTACTTAAGGTTGGTTGGCTGGAGGTTGGGGCTTGCATGGCTGAGGCAAAGGGTATGAGCATGGAGATTGGTTGGAGTTGACTCCGTGTAGTGTATGGACTTCTGCTTGACTTTTTGATGTGATTGCAGGTATGTTCTGTGACTGGGATTATTGGATTGGACTGCCCTGCGATCTTATATATGTGCATGAGGAGACCCATTGTGATTGTGAGATGTGATCGTCACACGTTTATTCCCATGTGTGTTTATATGTGCATAATGCGTACCTATGTGGGATACTTGCGTGGCTTGAAGAACCCGCATATTGAGGACTTAATTGGGAATAGGGGGCTAGCARAAGAGAAATGACCCCTCTATTTATATATACGCTTCTGAAGAAATTGTGGTCGGACGTTAGCCCTGAGCCTAGAATACGAAGGTCCTTGCCCAGGACGGCCCAAGTCCCAGGATTAGCTCTGAAAAGGTTCACTTTCGATAAAAGTCGAAGGTACTTTGCTTGATGGGTTTTGTTTTGGTGGAACGATGAAGTTCCGGGCGGAAGGGTCAGCGTGTCGCTGGTGATACACCAGACAACTGACCACCGCTCCAAATCCCTTCCTGCCCTAGGGACCGTCTTACCCTGCACCCTTTGGGACACCTCAGGGTGCAGAAGGCGGTAAAGCCCTCAGGCCGGTTTTGCGCCCGCTAAAGGGTTACCCCCCCCCGTAGCGCGAACTTCAGCCGACGCCTAAGCATCGGAAGCAACCGCATGGCTCAGAATAGGCCATTTGGGTATGGGCACCACATAATGCGCCGTCATCGCAGTTAACTCACGTAGAGCTGCATAGTGAATTGGTATGCGTGGATGCTGCGTTCGAGCGATCTTATACTAAACCTCGCGTACGGCAGTTACCGACTTCCACTGCGCAAAGTCATGGGTTGGATACTAAGGGGCTAGGAGTGTGTCGCGTTGTACGTCCTTTGCGTCATTCAGTACTTGTGTGCGTGTGTGCGTGTGCTTTACTTTTATGTACCTTATAGTGGTGTGTGTGATACGTCCTAGTCGACCGGCGACGAGCCGTGCTTGGGACCTCAGCCCCCCAAGATGTTGGTTCGCGTGCGGGTCCGATAGAGTAGTACCGCACGTACCCCTTATGCTACAGCGAACGAGAAACGCCCTCGGCTGGTCCACCTCTGCGATTGCAGCTGATCAGCTTTCGTAGTGTGGACTGGTACCTCGGCGGGGATACGCCCACCGAAGGGAGGTGACAACTCCCATAAGGTGGATGTAGCGTAGGCCCTGTCCTGTCGTAGGGGCTCGCCAGAGGTATGGCTGGCGCACCCGGCCGGAGCGGCCCAAGGAAGCTCCATTTGTGTGTTCGCGGCGAGGTTGGCCCAACTCCTGCGTGACGCGGCCGGGAGGGTCCCGTGCTACCTATGAGTGGTGTCGGGCCGATGCGCTCGACAGGTGGCGTCGTTGCCGGGGATGACGGTTGCCTGCCGTTGTCCCTGGTGGAACGACATCCGGGTATTAGGACAAGGAAGAAATCAGGCATGAGTGGGAGATTTGAAGTGAGTCTATACGTAGGGCTATAAGAGAGATTGCATGACTATAGTAACTATGTGGAGAAACTCAAAGCTTAGGTAGACCTTGTGAATGTAGGTCTGGGAGCGAAAGGGGCGTGGGTGTCATGTAAAGTCTGAAACGCCCAAGAGCTAAGTGGTTGGCTCGATAGGCTTATGCTGGAGTAAGAGTGCTGAGTAAAGTTGCCTTTGTACCTCGTCTTACTACAGGGAAGTTAAAGTGGAGGACAAGCTGCTAAAATGACAGGCGGCGTAGGCGACAATTCAGGCAAGGGCCTGACCCTCGATGATCTCATCGAGGCAATGGACAAGCGGGAGAGGACGCCGAGAAGTGTCCCCAAAGTCGACACCTTCCACTTCAATGGGGAACGGGTCTCTGAGTGGCTGGACCTAGTGGAGCAAGCCTTGGTGGGAGTACCAGACGAGACAAAATTCAAACGCATCCTGCAGTATGTGCTCCATAAGCACCATCCGGAAGTACAGAAGGTGGTCGACGACGCTAACGGCGACTGGGCTAAATTTAGGGAAGGGATGCAACGGAAGTACAGGCTGGGAGACGGCCTGCTGACTATGGCGGACCTAGAGGCAATGAATAGGGACGACTTCACCACCATTGGGGTGTTCCTGCAAGAATTCAAAAAGAAGGCAAGAAAGGTTCATGGGATATCAGAGGAGGCGCAGTGCGCCGTCTTCCTGGGACTGCTCACCGCATCTGAGACAGTTGAGTTAACAAGCCATGGGGGAGGAAATGCCAAACTTACCTGGGCCACCATTGACAGAGGAGTGGAGGTCGGGAGCCTCGACCAGGTTGAGCAGCACCAGGTGAGGCCGCAAAGGCAGAAGAGAAAGGAAAGGGATGCGGCTGGGACGCCAGGAGTAAAGAAGATCATAACCGACGTATTAGCAGGGCTAGACCCGGTGATACAGCGGAAGGTGACGGCGACAGCCCAGGAAAAGGGCAAGGGGGCCATGGTAGAGGAGGCTACCCAGGAACGATGGGAAGAGGAGGAACCGGTACCTCCACACCTTACGAAGGCGCAGCGTAAGCAGCGCAATCTAGCACAAGGCGGACAAGGGTCAGGAAAGGGCCAAGCGCCTCAAGTAGTGGTTGCGGCATCTCCGAGTTCGTCCGGGCCATCAAGTAGTGCGGGCCCGTCGCAAGCACCAGTGCCACCAATTGGGCACTGGTCGTGGCCCCTGATTAATACCTATGTACCCTGGGGTGGCCCAGCGCCGTCTGGACAGGTAATATCCTACGCTGGGCCCCAAACAAGTATGCCACCTCCGAGCTACCCCGCCGCCCAGACTCAGCCAACGGTACCACCTTCGCCGACGCCCACACAAAGTTCACAAGGTAGTGTGACGGGTGGTGGTAACCAAGGCCAAGGAAACCAAGGGAATGGAGGAAGGGGCGGTGGACGAGGACGTGGCAGGAATGGCGGTGGCTGGGGAGGCCAATGGGGCAACCAAGGTGGCCAAGGCAATCAAGGCGGCCAAGGCAACCAAGGGGGCCAAGGTGGTGGAAGGGCCCGATTTGATTGGAGGACTGCCATATGTCAGCACTTTGATCAGCAAGGTCACACTATTAGGTTTTGCAACATACGGAGAGAGGACGAGAAAAATGGACTGATTTATTCTAACATGGATGGGGACATTTATGACCAATTTGGAGAGTTTATTGATAGGAAGGCTGGTGGGGTTAAGGCGGAGGCCCAACGAAGGTTGGCAGCACGACAACCACCCCCTGCCACGTTCAGGCTATGGCAGGAGAAGGAAGAACTGCCAATTGGAGTTGAGGAAGTAGGAAGCGACGAGGAAATAACCCAGAGGCTACAGGCCGGGGATGTAAGAGAGAAGCCCATAGTCATCGAGTCGGACGATGAGGGTGACAATGAAGAGGTAGAGCCGGCGGGAGCCCTGCTGAATAAGATGGAGGACTTATTGGCCAAGGTAGGAAGATACCAACAGAAGTTGGTAGATCTCTGCGAGGAAGTGAAGGAGTGGAGGGCTAACCTCCCCAAGGTCTTTCTTTATGACTCTGGTCCAGAGTCCATGCCGGGGCGGCCCGGAGTGACCACTGTGGGGACGGGCCCACGATCAGGGATGATGACTAGGCCCCCTACCCTGCAAGCACTCGAAGTCAAGCCAAGGCAGGTGCGAGTCAAGAACCTCCTCGGAAGGGACCCGAACCAGAAAAGGGGAAAGAAACTGTAGAGGTAGAGGATGATGATGATGATGAAGGGGAAGATGACCGATTACGTCAGGAGGAAGATCAGAGGGCCGAACAGCGAGCCAAGAAAAGAGAAAGCCGGGGAGAGGCCGAACCAGTTATGCGAGACGTACCACCAAAGAGGAAGAAGTATGCGGTCCGGCTAGAGGAAGGATTTGATGTAGAGCGAGTGATTGACAGGCTGCTTGAGGGCCATAATGATTTAATGACCCTCAAGGAGATCCTGGCTTCCGCGCCAAGGCTCCGAAACGAGCTGAAGGGTAGACTGTCAAGGCGGCTGGTACCAAATGTTCACCTCAGCTTGATCTTGCCCAAGGAGATGGAATGGGCAGAGCCAGGGACGAAAATGGATTGGAAGTGTGTGGCTTGTGGCGTGGTGGACCTAGCGGTGAAAGGCTCTAAGTGCACGGCCATGGTAGATACGGGGGTCGAAATGAACATTATTCGGGAGGCCGATGACGTCAGATTTGGACTAGAGATAGACCGCTCGGACTGCGGCATCCTGCATGGGGCCAACAACAAGGCTGTGTTTTGTGGAACAGCCTCAAATGTGCTATTGGAGATTGGCAGAGTGAAAGCGCGGGCCTATTTCTTTGTGATGCCTGATGTAGACCACAGTATCCTCCTGGGGAGGTCCTTCCTATGCAGGACGGAGACCTTGATGTATAATAAGCATGATGGGTCATTGATCTTGATTTTATGTGATCCAGCATGCGGGAATTACGAAGTGATTACCTGCCGGACACTGGGCTAAGGAGCCTCAGGAACAGGCCCAACCCTGGCTCGTTCACGATTGAGGAGTCCGAAGACGCGCATTGGAGGCTTATGGCAGAGCCCGAGGAGGAAGTAGAAGGTGAAGCCTTCTCGCTCAGCCTGTCGGATGTGGAAAAGGCCATGGATATAGTGGCCACGCACGAGATGGCCGATCCGGATGCCATTCAGGCGTTGAGGGAGCAGGTTCTGGAGTATCCCCAGGTGGGGGAAATGGAGCTGGTCTATCGGCTTCCTAAGGGGGGGAATGGATCCGACGGTGGCACAGGCACAGGCACGAGCGGCAAGTCAGCCTTTTTTAGGGGCCGGCTCAAGCAGGGTGTCCAAAGGCGGTACAAAACGATAGACAAAAAGTGTCGCCCAGTTCCCGTTCTTGTTACCGAGGACGAGGAAGTGTACTACGACCGGGAGCGAGCGTTGATACGGCGGATGAGGGAAAACGCGTCAGAAGGGCCATGCTGTATCAATGAGGAAAACGAAGGGAAGTTGATAGTGGGGGAGCCGGACTTCCTACTACCTCGGGAAAGAGCCCTGATGGTGGAGCTGATGAAGAAAAGACATTGCGCCTATGCGTTCAGCGACGAGGAGCGTGGCAGGTTGGATGTGGACAAGATTCCAATGATCCGCATCCATACCGTGCCGCACGAGCCGTGGAATCTAAGAGGGGCGCGATACCCAGATCCGGACGAAGAGAAGAGGGTAGTGTACTACCTCGATGGCAAAATACGCACGCACGTCGCCGACTACTCAAGCGGACCCTACGCATCCCCGTGGTTTTGTTTTATTAAGCCTAATGGGACACTAAGGTGGGTACAGGACTTGCAGAGACTGAATGTGGTGACCGTGCGGGATGCAGGTGCTACCAAATGCTGATGCACTGTCGGAATCGTGCGTTGGGAGGTCGATAATTTTACTTATTGACCTCTATTCTGGATATGACCAATTTCCGGTCTACACGCCGGACCGACCAGTGACAGCTATGCACACGCCTCTGGGGCTTATCCATATGAATGTGGCTCCACAAGGGTGGACGAATGCGGTGGCGATGGTCCAGAGGAATATGATCCGGGTCATGCAGACCGTTAGTCCACACATCACGCAGCCGTACATCGATGACCTGGTAGTGAAAGGGCCGCGAAAAAGGGAAGACGATGAAGTCCTGCCTGGAGTAAGGCGGTTTGTTTGGAGGCACGTTCAGGACCTTGATAAAGTCTTGGGCTTGCTTGAGGAGTACAACCTTACGGCCAGTGGGCCTAAGTCTAAGCACTGTATGAGGGAAGCGACTATCTTGGGGTTCGTCTGTAATGAGAACGGTCGGCGGCCGGATGTTAAGAAGACGGATAAGATAGTTGAGTGGCCGGTGTCATTCCGTTCTGTAACAGATGTAAGGAGCTTCCTAGGTACGTGTGGGTTCTGGAGGTCCTTCGTCAAGAACTTTGCGGCAAAGACAAAGCAATTAAGGAAGCTGGTCCGGCAGGATCAGGAGTGGACCTGGGGTGAGGATCAGGAAGAGGCAGTGGCCAACATAAAAGAGGAGTTCCGGGAAGGAGGATTGGTGCTGGGAGCGCCCGATTATGACGCTACAAAGACGAGACCATTCATTGTGGAGACCGATGCAGGACCGACGGCCTTGGGTGGAGTTCTAATTCAAGCCGACATCAAGGGGAAGGAGAGGCCGTTGCGCTTTGAGAGTCGCGCGCTGTGTACGTCAGAAAGAAACTACTCTCAATTCAAGAGGGAGACCCTCGCCGTCCTTCATTGCCTGCGGATTTTTCGAAACTACATCTTCGGCAGGAGGTTCATCTTAAGGGTAGACCCAACGGCTCTGGCTTTCTCCCTGAGGAATTATGTTCCGTCCGATCCAACAGTTGCCAGGTGGTTGACATACATCTGGATGTTCACCTTCGAGTTGGAACGGATCCCAGGGAACAAGAACAGGGCAGATCAGCTAAGCCGCATCAACTGGGATAGGCAGGACGGGGAAGCKGTAGAGGATACGCCCCCTGTTGATGGCTTTCTGGACCAGGACGAGGACATCCGCCTCCACATCAATAAGTGGTCCCCACGAGTCCCCAGCTGCGTTGGCCATCCTATCTGGCATGCGCCTAAGGGGTATGAGCGGAGAGCTGAGTTAGTGCTCAAGCCTTTCGAAGAAGAGGATCCCTAGGGTGGTAAGGACGTCCAATGGATGACCAAGTTGGCACTCGCAGGTAGCCATTGTATGGTGGATGAGGTACTGACGATAGAGGAGGGTCCGGATAAGGTGAAACATCACGAGGAATTAATGGGAGGGATATACCTCCTCGTTAATGCGCTTCTGCAGGAGTCCCTTGATTTGGAAGGCTCACTAAATCCGACCGAAGGGAGAGATACTGTGTTGGAGAGCCAGGATGACGAGTTTGAAGAGGGAGAGATCAAGGAGGCATTCCGCGCAGAGGAGTATGATGGGGTTTACCTAGAGCTGGGACTTCTCTTATCATACGAGATGCGTGATAGAGACGCAAGCCATAGGGCGCAGATGATGAGGGATCGCTACCTAGTAAGAGACGGTCATCTCTTCGTAAAAAGGAAAGTAGGGAACCCCAGGCGGGTGGTATGTGGTCACAACCGTCAGATCGACGTCATAGCGGCGCTTCACGATGGCATTCCAGGCGGACACCGGGGAATTACTGCCACATATGCCAAAATAAGTGAGCTATACTATTGGGACGGGATGATGGAGATGGTGGGGAAATTTTGCCGTTCCTGTGTGCCGTGCCAGGAGCAGTCTCGTCTAAGGCCAGGTGCGAGGAGCAGTCTCGTCTAAGGCCAGGAGAGCCACTGCATCCAAGGCTGGAGAGAGAGGTCGGGGCCGTAGTACACCTCGACTTGTTGTTCATGCCCCTTGGAGATCATGGCTACAACTATATCTTCGATGCGCGCGACAACCTATCTGGCTTCGTAGATGGACGGGCAATCCGTACGAAGACTGGGCCACTTCTGGTTAGCTGCATCGAGGAGTATTACCTATGCTACCCGTTCGTTAGGGAATTCGTAATGGACAGGGGGTCGGAGTTCACCTGTCAGGAGGTGCAAGAGCTGCTGTCTAGATATGGGGTAGTGGCTAACTACACCACGGCCGCCCACCCACAGGCAAATGCTCCGGTGGAAAGAGGTCATAGTACCATTACGGCTCTACTAGCAAAATGGACCGAAGGTAAGCCCAGCCAGTGGCCGAGGTATCTGAGGGCCGGCTTCTTCGTGGAGAACATCACAGTGAAAAGGACCACTAAGTACGCGCCGGCCACACTGTGGTATGGAAGACATGCTACCTTCCCAGTCGAGAGCTTCCTAAAGACTTGGAGGCGTTAGGACTTGGAGGTAAATCTGTCTTTTGAAGAATTGCTCGATATTCGAGCTCGGCAGGTGGGCGCGATTGAGGAAAGGGTCCAAGAGGCATCCGACCAGGTAGAGAGGAGCCGTATGGACGATAAGGCTCGCTGGGACCAGTCGGCTCGTGTAAGAAAGGTACCCTTGGTAGTTTGGGACGTCGTGCTCTTGTATGATTCATCCCTGGAAAAACAATGGTCCAGGAAGCTGGACAAGAGGTGGTTAGGTCCCTATAGGATCGTGCGATGCGGAGAGTTCGGCGCATACCAGATCAAGGAGCTGAATGGAACAGAGTGGAAAGACTGGGTGTCAGGGACGAGGTTGAAGAAATTTGTGGCCAGAGAAGAGGTGAGATAGGCAACCCAGTCCCCTTAGAATGGAATAAATGGGTTTGCAGATTAGGAGGATTGCTTGGGGGCATGTGCTTGGTTTGGCCTGAGTGTGTCTCTTCGTCGCCTGTTTGCTTACCCCGGCGCGTGCCTGTTTTCTCCTTCGCCTGTTGTGCAGGACTGACTTGCAGCCATGCCAAGAGGAGGGAGGGGGACACGGCCACCACGACGGCCAACGGGAGCATCAGGAGGACATGGACGRCATGGGCCTTACCGTCGAGCAAGCACTCCAGTATATAACGATGGGGATATCGAGTTATTCACGGACGAGTTATGGGGCCACGCTGACCATATGGGGTGGACCGTGACTCAGATGGTCGAGAGGTTGAGGGGAGTTGGCAGGTTTATGGAGCCCATCGCACAGATTCGCAGGGAGGCTTGAACGAGGTTGGAAGTGGAGGCGTGGATGCAAGAACTACGACCATCGCCGGTGGGGCCTGATGGCAGGCCTATTCGACTGGAGATTGGGAATGCAGATGACTTCATCCCAACATTCGAACAATTCATGCAGGACCAGGCAATACTACGAAGCGAGTGGATGACGACGTTACCCCTGTGGACCCGAAAGGCGGAAAGACCTTTGGCCAGACAGATCAGGGATATGGCCCGAGATTGGGATGGTTATAGAGCGCACTTGAGGGCGGCATTCCGACAGCCAGAACCACCTCGGCCTAGAGTCGAAAGGCGCCTCAGGAGCTGTAGGCAGAGGGAACCTGAGCCCGTTGAGGACCGAACCTCGCAGAGAGGACGGAAGGCGCTCGCTAGGCGAGAGGAGGAAACGGTACCTGAGGCAGAACGACAGGAGGAGCACCCCGAGGGTGGACTGGGGCCAGTAGAGTTCCACCGCTACACTGGAGGAGGACTGGGGGAAGCGCCACAGCATATACAGGAAGAGATACCGGCCGTTGAAGGGTCATTGCAAGAGTTAGAGGCACATCTGGACGTTGCCCAGTGGAGAGAGCCGCCGATGAGTGAGGGGCGCATTGAGGCCGTCGCGGAAGTACCACAAGAGAACGTTCCAGACCCTGAACAAGAGGAGGGGCCGAGCGCTACGAAAGACCGGATTGGGGATGAGATCATAGAAGTTGAGGAAGACACTCCCCCTCAGGGACCAGCCGTGGGGCTGAGGCTCGGTAGTCCACTCGAGAGCCCGCCAGATACGAGGAAGAAAGTACAAAGGGAGAAAGTCCCAATCTCAGTGTCGGAGACAGCCCTATCGCCGACAGGAATGGAGGCAAGTGAGGCGGAGGGGGCCAGTCTGAGAAGGGAGGCCGACAGTCTGATTGATAGCCATCCGGCCGCCCACGCTCTGGAGCAACCTAGTTTGGAAGAGGTCATACCTATGGAGTCACTCCAGGAACCAAGTCAAGCCGAGAGAGAGGTGGAAACGGAGATCTCGGGGGAAGTCGAACAACGCATGGTAGAGGAAATACCAGCGAAAGAAACGGCTGAGGAGAAGCGGGCTAGAGTGGCAAGACGCTGGGAGGAAATCCGGCAGGAGGGGCAAAGATTGGAAGCAGCAGGGGTACTCCCAAGTCCGCCACCGCCCTATAAACCATATGGGCTCCGGGAGATGTGGGGAGAGTTTCTTGCTCGTCATGGCGAAGGGTTGACGACCCCAGGCAAGGCGGAGGCTGAAACTTCACAGAGAGCTGATGAGTATTTGGATCAGAGGATTCGCTCTGTATCCAAGACCTCCGTCGACAGGCATATGATGTTGGAGGCGGATCTGAGAGGGAAGGAACTGAAGGAAGTAGGGCTGGAGTCACGGTTGGGGACCATTGAGGCAGAAGTCTGAGAGCTCAGGTCTCTGGTGACTAGCCAGGCCGCCACCATCCTGGAATTGAAGTAGCAACTCCATGGCGGCAGGGATGGGGCGGAGAGTAGCCGGCCAGGAGAGCAGAGGCAACCGGGACATGGCATATCAGGGCAACCAGTTGTGGCTGAGCCTCAGCAAGAGGCACCTATGGGAAGAGTCATTTTGGAGCCTGAGGAGGCAGAGGCCAAGAGGAAGGCTGAGAGGGAAGCCTTCGAATTCAGAGCCCCTACGGAGCTTGCGGTGCTACCCACGATGGTTGCAGACCCTGCCATGCCACCGTCACTTGAGGAGAGACTGCCCTCGGCTAGTGACGAGCCTCCCCAAGGCTCGGCAGGGGGTTCCTTGGACGTGCTACTGGAAGCAGTCCACTCTATGCAGGAGGATGTTGGCTTGTTTTCACCAGAGTCCAAGTTGGAAGAGCCCCTGGAGAGCGAGGTGGGAGGTGCAATGGAGGGCATCATCGTAGGCAGGCCCCAGAGGTTGGATACTCCTGACTATGAGCCAGAGGGAGCAAGGGCGCAACCAGGGCCCAGTCCGCGAGAGTCGGAGGCAGGATCTGAGAGACCCAGAGATGTGCCTCAGTGCCATGAGTTGGACGGAGAGGCCAAGGAAACCCCATCGCCAGCAGGGCCCCAGCGGAAGAAGAAAAGGCCTAGGAAGTCTTTTGACTCGACCTGCTTCTATTGTACGAAAGAAGAGCACAGGGCATTGCAGTGCCTCAAATTCCTAAAGGACCAGGCAGACGGGAAGGTCTCGGAGTATGATGGGAAGATGTATGATAGGCAGGGTAGAGTGGTGGAACGAGCTGTAGATGGGGGTAGAGCTCAGTTGTACAGGCAGAACCAGGAGGAGATGAGTAGGGTCTGGTTCACCTGAATAAAAACTAGATATATCTTTGACGATTTTGCTATTACTTAGGCAGGGTGGACACCAACGACGTTGAGTGTGCAGATGGGACCTACGACATGGGGTGGCCCTGTAACTAGGATCATGTAAAATAGGGAGTGTACACTAAGTGACAGTAGAATGTTGAGTGGTTTGGGGACTTCTTGTGCAGATAACCATGTACTATATTCAGGGTGGTGTGAGTTGTTTTGTGTGGGTCCTGAGACGAGGTTATCCTGTGTAGTTTAGGATGAGATATCTCATCCATGAGTGTATATCTGAGTTGAGTGAGGCTTGAGACTATCCTGTGTACATGACGATCACACTCACTCTCACATGTGTGGTTTTATCCTGATGTATGGTGAATGTTGAATGTATGAACGACATCTTGAATGTTGTGCACCGTGCGAATGGAATGTATGTGAACTACCTACTCTCCGGTATACTTGTGCGATCTGCCCGCGGGCAGGTAACGGGGCCAGGTATAAGGAGAGGGAGTGCAGTCTGTCCTTGTGAAAGTATAAGGATCCCTTGGATTTGTGAGTCCTTGAGACTCAGATGCTCGCCATGCCGAAGGTATGTTGTTGAGTTGTGATGAGGACCCATAAGTTGGTCTCTCAAGTTGAGTTGGGCTATGGTAGGGGTGCCTGGTTTTTTTAGGAGGCAACCCGCTGCATGTTGGGAGACCTATGGAGTGAGACCTCCCTCGTATGAAGGGTGGTTACCAGATCGGTGGCATGGTAAGCAAGGTTGGTATGATAAAGCCTGACGAGAAGGACCATGTTTGTTGCTTGGCCACTGTTGAGAGTTTGGAGAGGTCGCAAATAGTTTCTTTTGGGAGACGTCACTAGGATGCGTGGCTTCCTGCTCTGATCAAGTAAGGAAGTCACGGCCTTGTGCAACTGGAGGTGATTCTGTTTGTAAATGTGGAGAGGTTGCCACGATCCCCTGTGTTGTCCCACAGAGAGCTGGTACATACCTTTTATGTGTGACATGCCTCTGCATAGTCCCGCGGGGGGCCTGTATTGTTGCGACCCACCGTCCAGCCACATGTGTTAATCCTGGAACATGTATGAGAATACCAAGCTAACGGTAGAGTTTAGCATCACTAGGGCGCAACCCCTAGTGTCGGCTGCTGATCGACACAACCTGACCAGCGGGCCTACATCGGGCCTAGGGAGTAAAGACTTAAAGGGGTGTGGCCACCTAGGAGGGTTTTACTCCTGCAGACCGGCGTGGGATAAGGGTCGAGTCGAGTCTTTTTTGAGTGTTGATTGAATGCTTATCAGGAGAAAGCCTATCGCGGCGCAACCTGCGAGGGCACCACCGCTGAACTAACAAGCGCGGTGGGCCGTAGACCTAGCACGATCGCCCAGACTACGACGGGCCAAGATGGAGACCTAGCCTACTTGTACTAGACTGCAGGAGGTGAGTTGAGGTGATTTATGTCTATATATATATATATTTGATTGTGAGAATTGTGGGAGGAAGGCGAAAATGCCTTCTTAGGTCTCGGTTAGGGCCCGCGCCCTTGGTCGAAGTCCTGTTCGCAGGATAGGGGCCCAAGGCACCTAACGAGAGGCCGGCGTTTGTCTAGGACAAAGGGGAGAGGACGGGTAAGAGGAGCCGCTGAGACTTATGCTGTAGTACGTATGTCTAGTACACCGGCGTCCTACTGTCAGGACAATGGAGACCCCGGTTAGAACCCTGGCGGCATATTGTTACAAGGGCTTGGATTGTTGGAGGCCTCAACCCTGAGTCTGTCGGCTGATCGGATTGGTTCCTGTCTCGTCAACATTTGGAGTTATGGAGGAATTTGTAGCTTTCGATTTGGCGAAGCGACGGGGACGTCGCTTAATATGGTCCGGTAAATTGTCGGCGCGAATACCCTGACAAGGGTATCCGCCCTTGCTTTTGCAAGTGACTGGAAGTACGGGTAGAGGTCTAGAGTGTACCGCGCGAAACGCGGCTCCGTCTCTTTGGTTACGTAGGTAAGTTGCTTGATTAGAATGGAGCGGGTGTGGGCGCGCGAGATTAAGGCGCGCGTGTGATTTTTCTACTTTGGATTATGCAACCGGCATAGTTGGTCGGCCTGACTCTGGCTACCAGGAATGAGAGGTGCCCTTGGTAGACCGTTGGTAGTCTAACGTGCGGAGTAGGGTGCGGGGCGGCCACGGCGCAAAGCGGACAAGCCGGCATAGGAGCCTAGTAGTGGCGTGCCTAATGGGAGGCAGGAATGAGGCCTGGGGGCTGCGCCGCACCTGTTCATATGGAATACCGCGCTGGCCAGTACCAGGCTTGGGCTTAGCCCTATAGGTTATGGCGTTGGACTATCACGTCAGAAGTATGGGGTTCGAGGCTACCGGGCGGCAGCACGGGAGGGACGGGGCATTAAAGGAGTTGAAGGGTTGAGGGTTCCGTGGGACTATCCCCTTTTGTCTTGGTGGGGGAGACCGACCACGGGCCCGCTTGGCGGGACCAGGGGGATGCTGGTGGGGTCTGCCCCCCCCCCCCTTCCCTCCTTTTCTTTTTTATTTTTATTGTTTATTTATTTGTTATTATTTTCTTTTTCCTATCTCGTCTCATTTGCAACCGGTC